AGGCATGGCTCATGAATGCTGTGATGGTAGGGTGGATGGAGCGTCCCACAGGAGCGTGGGGGGGTGGTTGGTGAAAAACATTAGCCAGAAAATGCAGTTTTTGTTGATCTGAAATTATTTGCAAATACATTTTAGCAAACAGAAAACAAGGGAAAATAAACTTGGAAATGTTGAAACATTTTGTTTTGACACTTCAAAAATGATTTTGATTTTTTTGATAGTAGAATCTTGAGGACACTTATAAAACATTTGCAAAAAGAAGGAGAAAGTTGTTGGGGCACTCACCTTGGCAGTGGAGGTCTAGTCCCTGCTCCAGCAGACATGTAAGTATTTTTACAAAGTGGAACAGCTTTGATAAAAAAGTCTAACTGAGATACACTTCAGGATGCCCTATAACAGGGGTGGGTAATTATTTCGGGCAGAGGGCCGCTTATCCAGTTTTGGTGAGCAGTCGAGGGCTGCATGGGTAGCCCCGCCCCTTGACAGGTGCCCCGCCCCCTGGTCACCGTCCTGGGACCAATGTCCCAGGGCCAGCACTGGTGGGGTGCAGGCTGGCAGGGGTCTGTGGAGGTGGGCTGGGCTGCACCAGCAGGGAGAGGGGGGAGCTGGCCTGGCTCCATAGAGCCCCTGCTGGCTGGGACCCCTGTACTCCTGCCACTCTGCTCTGGGCCTTGCCGGCACTAGCCCTGGCACACTGGTGTGGGCCCTGTGCTCCCACTGACTCCCAGACCTGCTCACTCTCAGTGCCCCCCCAAGCCCCACAGTACAGGCAGGGGGCAGTGTGCAGCCCCGACCCAGTGCTCACCAGCAGAGGAGCTGGTGCTGAGCATGGGGAAAAGCAGGCCCTCCCCCAACCTGTGGTTGGTACTCCCTACTGCAGCCACTCACAGCCCATGCGGAGATGTCCTGAGCAGGCACAGGCAGCCCCATGCAGGCTGCGAGCAGCTGCAGCATGGGGCGCCGGCCATGCAGTGGGGGAGGGGCTGCTGTTCCCCGCACTCAGCACCAGCTTATAACCTGCCCCCCCCCGCCAGCCTGGGCCCCACACTGGCTTCAGCCTTGCTCCCCTCCCCCCCGCCTTACCTGAGGTTCCAGCACGGTGCAGCCACATAGCCCCAGGCCAGAAGCCCTTGCTGGGGCTTCTAGCTGCAGGGGCAGGGTCGCGCGGACCCTGCTGTTGCAGGAGCCCACCGGGGCTTCCCCTGGGTCCTACTGCCCCTGGCACCTGTCATTTTCGACAGGAACAAAGGACTGATAAATATTAATTTTCAAAAAATTTTAGGGGCCTCGCAGGCTGGATAAAATGGCCTTGTGAGCCACATCTGGCCTGCAGGCCATATTTTGCCCACCCCTGCCCTATAAGCTGGGCAAAATATGGCCTGATGGCCAGATGTGGCCATCAGGCCATATTTTGATGGTCAAGACGCTGTCCTAGAAGGTTATAA